CTCGGCGCCAGTGGGTAGCGGCCCGGCCCCCCCGGCTCATCCCGCGTCCCTGTAGGAGCTGGAGCCGCCCGCCCCGGGCTGGCATCGCTGCCACCGGGAATGGCCCCGCTCCTCACCCGCTGCCTCCTCTCCCGCATCCCGTCCCCAGTCCAGAAGTTCATCAGCGAGGACCGCCTGCCTCACCTCCTGCTCTACGGGCCGCCTGGCACCGGCAAGACCTCCACCATCCTCGCCTGCGCCCGGCAGCTCTACAAGGACCGGGAATTCAACTCCATGGTTTTAGAGGTAAGTGGGATGGGCGCTTTGGTGCCATCCAGACCAAGAGACAAGGACTGGGGCAGGCAGGTTGAGTTCTGGTTGGCCAACCGTGCTTGCGGTTGGGTGGCCATCCTGGTTTCCTTACACCCTGCATGGAGCCTGGGCTCCTCTGGGGAGGACCAAAGACCAGAGACATGAACCAGAGGGAGAAGGGCCTCATCTGCCACTGCTGTGTCCCCCTTCTGTCCCCCTCTAGCTGAACGCCTCCGATGACAGAGGAATTGATATAGTCAGAGGGCCCATCCTGAGCTTCGCCAGCACCAGGACCATCTTCAAGTAAGCAGGAGGGGCTGTGTTTCCCCGCTCCAAAGCTCTGCCCCCATCACTTTCCCCCAGCCAGGCCCTGGGTCCTGGGGGGTGGCAGGACAAGGAAGCCTGTGGTGCTGGGGTGGGCTCCATGTCTGAGCGGCTGGCAGAGGATTCGGGATGCCCGACTGGCCCAGAGAGTGGGAGCAAGGCTGGGGCTACAGTGGTGCTGCAGGGACGTGGGACAAGCAGAGGGAGCCTCAGCTTTAAGCAGCATCTTCCAGCCAGGGCTGGGCTGGGGACTGGTGCCTCTTGACCCCTCTTCTGCAGTGTCCAGCTTGACTCGACCCTGGCATCTCCGAAAGGGCCCGCGGGACCCAGCCGGCTCCTTTCTCTCCTTCAGGAAAGGCTTCAAGCTGGTGATCCTGGATGAGGCGGATGCCATGACGCAGGACGCCCAGAACGCCCTGCGGAGAGGTGGGTGCTGTGGGGGTTCAGTCAGGCCAGGGGTGTCACCCTGAGCTCCTGGCACCCCCAAGCTGTTCCAGCCAGGAAGAGGCTAGACATGTCTAGCAGCCCCCTTCCATGAGGGTCGTGCCCTGGGTCCTCCGTCATGGATGGAGACTGTGGCCGCGGCAGCTGGAGCCTCTCCTGCCTTCTCCTTGCAGTGATCGAGAAGTTCACGGAGAACACCCGCTTCTGCCTCATCTGCAACTACCTGTCCAAGATCATCCCGGCCCTGCAGTCCCGCTGCACGCGCTTCCGCTTCGGCCCGCTCACGCCAGAGCTCATGGTGCCCCGGCTGCAGCATGTCATCGAGGAGGAGAAGTGAGTGGGGGACACGGGCACCAAGTGGGAGGGGACAGCAGCTTCACTGCTTGTCCCAGGGTTGCTTGGAGCAAGTTATTGCGGCTCTTCCCTGAGCAGGGTTGACTCCCAGGGGTAGGATCCCCCCCATCTCCGCTCCTGTCCAGCTAGTGACACTTCTCCATGGCTATTCCTGCCCTGGAGCAGCTGTGGGCCATGCCAGGAGACCAATGGGCACACACAGATCCACCCGGGCCTGCAGCGTGGGGGCTTCTAGCAATGCTCAGGGACAGCCACCACCTCTGTCCCCTGCTAGGGCTGCTGTGAGCCAGCGTGGTGGTGGGGACAAAAAGGAAATGTGTACTTTGAGCAAAATTCACCCCACGGCTGGTTTTTAATTTTTGCTTTAGGACACAAAAGTCTTCAGAGTTGCAGCAACCTTGTATTTAACCTTCTCTTCAGCTGGTTTTGGTGGAGCCGTAATGTTCCTTTTGGGATCTGCAAAGGACAACATCCACTTTTTACCCTTGCCTGCCCCAAGTTGCCATTAAATAATTACTGGGGTGGCTGCAAACTTCCAGACAGCTGGAGCCACCTCTGAGCTCCCGGCCTCATCCTTGGGCTCCGTGGGAGTGTCTCAGAGGCAGCCCGTGCCACAAGGCTCCATTCCGAGGACAGAGGCGGTTGCTGGTGCCCAGGGAGCCATGCAGCCTGTGGCTCTCCCTTGCCCTGTGCAGCAGCCGCGGTTCTCCCTGTCTTCCAGGGTGGACGTGACGGAGGACGGGATGAAGGCCCTGGTGACCCTCTCGAGCGGCGATATGCGCAGAGCCCTCAATATCCTGCAGGTACCGACGAGGGCATCTTCCTTCCCTTGTGTCATCCGGAGGCAGCTGTCCTGGCTCCGGAGGGAGCCGCAGGGAAGGGCTGGCCCCAGAGAGCCCCTTTCCTCCTCCTCCGCAGAGCACCAGCATGGCCTTCGGGACGGTGACAGAGGAGAACGTTTACACCTGCACCGGCCACCCCCTCAAGTGTGACATTGCCAACATCCTTGACTGGATGCTCAACCAGGACTTTTCCACTGCCTACCGGAGTATCCTTTTCCCCCCAGCCTCTTTCCCCCAGCCCGAAGGCCACGCGAGGGCCGGGGCCCCGCGCGCTCCAACCAGACTTAGTCCCTGCTAATTCCCCCAGCCGTGGGCCTAATCCCCATGGTTACAAACCCTCCTCCTGCCCAGCACCTCAGCCCACTGCCTTCTGCCCCAGGCGGATCAGGGCACATCTGGGCTCCCACAGCAGACAAGCAAATCAAGGAAGGCAGTGAGGAGGATGGGGCCGGCCTCTTTTCCGTTGTCAGAAAATGAAGCATCAAAAGTTCCACAGGAACTTAAGGAAAAAATTCTTAACAGTGAGGGTGACAGCACTGGAACAGGCTGCCCAGAGAGGTTGTGGAGTCTCCTTCTCTGGAGATCTCAAAACCCGCTTGGATGCAGTCCTGTGCCCCGTGCTCTAGGTGACCCTGCATGTGCAGGGGGGTTGGACTAGATGAACTCTAGAGGTCCCTTCCAACCTTAAGCATTCTGTGATTCTATGAAATGCCTTCACTCATGGCCCAGAAATCGCCGAGCTGAAGACGCTGAAGGGCCTGGCCCTGCACGACATCCTCACCGAGATCCACCTGCTCGTGCACAGGGGTGAGATGGGGTCCCCACCGTGCGCCCAGCCCCACTCCGCTCGCCCCTCACCTCCCTCTCCTCTCTCCGCAGTCGACTTCCCGCCCTCGATCCGTATCCAGCTGCTGAGCAAGATGGCAGATATCGAGTAAGCGTGAGGCTCCCAGGCATGGGTGCTCCTTGTGCACATCCCAGCAGGGCTGTCACTTTGGGACCTTGGTGCTTAACCTGGCCCCTTCCTCCTGCTGCAGGTACCGGCTGGCAGCAGGGACGAGCGAAAAGATTCAGCTGAGCTCCCTCATCGCAGCTTTCCAAGTCACCAGGGACCTGATCGTGGCCGAAGCCTAGGACTGCGGCGCGGGGTCCTGCCTCTGGGCAGAGCCGCGTATCGCTCCGTTTTTCCCCTTCCTTTTCTTGCAGCAATCCCTCTGCCCACAGCCAGCTCCCCGGGAAATGCAGCCCCTCCGGATCCCAGCAGGTTGCCCTGTGTGTTTTGTGCCGCGGGGAAAACGGTTGGGGTTGGCCCAGGGCTTTGTGCAGACCCAGCGCTCGAGCACGCAGGGGACGCGCCGGCATCAAGCAGTTTGCCTGAGCAAACCTCACTGTTGCCAGCGCAGCCCCTTGCAGGCAGCGTGGGGACGCTGGGTCCCAGAGCCTGACCTGCCACGCGTCCCCATCGCCCACCAGCACCTTCATGAGCGCCAAGGAAGTGAGGGACCATCTTTTATTGTCACTGCTGCCCTCGGCTCTGCAGGGGGGTCTCCTCCAGCCCTCCAGAGTGGCAGGGTTGCCCCTAAGGGTGCCCACTGGCCTTGCCAAGGGTGGCTGTCGCCACCCAACCCCAACGAGGGCAGCAGCTCTGCCCGGAGCCCCCCTGCGAACCGTCAACCCACGACATTGCCCCGCAAGCGAAAGCAGCAGCCCCAAAACCTGCAGTGGGGGGGACCCGTGTCCCCCGGGGGGCCACCTCCGCCCCCACCCGCGTTTTCCTTGGGCTCCAGCGTCATTTCGGCCAAAACAACCTCCGCGGTCACAAGCGAGGGCAGGGGCCGGTCCCTGGTGCCGTGACTGGTATATCCTCCGGTGCTGCCCCGGGCTGCATCCCCGCTGTCCCCGCTGCGCTAGAAGGAGCGGTAGGTGAGGAACTCCTTGAGCTTCCTGGGAATGGGCAGTGCCAGCACCTGGTACGTGGTGAGGAAGGTGCGCAGGGCCCGGCGGCACAAGTGCTTCAGCGAGGCAAGTGCCCGCGGCGCGCTCCAGAACTGCACGTGGCCGTCCCTGGTCCTGCGGGGAGAGGCCAGGCTGTGGCGAGGCGGCTCTTGGGCGGGCGCCCCCCCGCACCCC